CCGAGCCGAGACTCTGTCTCTTAAAAAAAAAAGAATAGAGTATGAATGTCTTACCACAACAAATAAGTAAGTGAGGAGATGGTTATATTAATCAGTTAGATGTAAGCATTCCACATTGTATATCAAATGAGCATATTGTACCTTATAAATATATTAATGTACACAGTTATGATTTAATAAAGAATTAAAAACCCCATCAAATCAAAAAAATAAACTCAGTATATATATATATACATACATATGGATGTGCATATATATACACATCTGTATGTATATTTAATGTATGCGTATATATGTATATTATATATGTATATATATGTAGATATATATATTTGCCAATAAAAGAGTTTAATTTCATTAAGGACATGAGCATTTTTTTTTTGAAATGGAGCCTCAAGTTGTCACCATGCATAGAGTGCTGTGTCATCACATCTCACAGCAACCTCCAACTCCTGGGCTTAAGCAATTCTCTCGCCTCAGCTTCCCAAGTAGCTGGGACTATAGGCGCCTGCCACAACGCCCAGCTATTTTTTGGTTGCAGTTGCCATTGTTGTTTAGCAGGTCCTGGGCTGGATTTGAACCCACCAGCTCCAGTTTATGTGGCTGGTACCCTAGCCGCTGAGCTACAGGCACCAAGCTGATGAGCATGTTTTGAGTTCTTTAAAGACTATTCACCAGAAGGAAAATAGGGAACAGGGCCAGAGAGTGAAAGGCAGAACAGCATATTTCACCTGACCCTGTGGTTCTAGCAGAAGGAAAGATAAGTGTGGGCCTAGTAACATTACTGGTGACCTAAAATGCCTCAGAGGTGACCCCATAAAGAGGCACTTTAATATGACCAACTTTTCTAACTTGTGTGCATTTTTTAGAACTTTATTAGAGTAGGTGACTGGCCTAAGTAACATCAAACATTTGTAGCAGCACCTAAGAGCTTTCGCTGCACTTTGATCAACTGGGTTTTATGGAGCCTGATGTTTATATAATTCTAGGGGCAGAGGTGAGGGGGCAGAAGAGCCCTCTCTTTAAGGAAAAAAAAAACTCACCAAATTAAAATACAAAGATAGGCTCGACTCCCATAGCATAGTGGTTACGGCACCAGCCACATAGACCAAGGATGGCGGGTTCAAACCCAGCCCTAGCCTGCTGGACAGCAATGACACTGCAACAAAAAATAGCCAGGCCTGTAGTCCTAGCTGCTTGGGAGGCTGAGGCAGGAGAATTGCTTAAGCCTAAGAGTTTGAAGTTGCTGTGAGCTGTGATGCCACAGCACTCTACAGAGGGTGACATAGTGAGACTCTGTCTGAAAAAAAAAAGTAAAGATAGTCATGAAAGTGACTTATAATGAGAAATCACAGTAAATTACACATTTTAAAAAGCTAACTACCACAAATATAATAAAAAATTCTGATAATGTTATTAATTAAATGCCAGTCACACTTGAACATTATGTTTTTCTGACATTTTTGACTGCAGGCTCTGTGATTGTTTCTTTACATAACGATAATGATAATGATAATACCATTTTAGAGAGAAAGACTAGAAAGATAATCCAATCTTTTCTTAGCCTGGTGGATCAAATTTGTCTTTTATTATTTGTTAGTTTTGAAAAGTTTCTTTCAGGTTCACAAGGGTTTTGTTTGTTTGTTTTTTGAGAAAGTGTCTCACTCTGTCACTCTAGGTAGAGTGCCTTGGTGTTCATAATTCACAGCAACTTCAAACTCTTGGGCTCAAGAGATCCTCTTATCTCAGCCTCCCCAGTAGCTGGGACTACAGGCAGCTTCCACAATGCCTGGCTTGTTTTTTAAATTTTAGTAGAGACAGAATCTCACTCTTGCTTAGGTTCATCTTGAGCTTCTGAGCTCATCCACCCCCCCACCCCCCCCAGGGCCTCCCAGAGTGCTAGGATTACAGGAGCGAGCCATGGCACTGCTTTTTTTTTTTTTTTTCAGACAGTCTCACTCTGTTACCCAGGCTAGAGTGCCGTGGCATTTGCCTAGCTCACAGCAACCTCAAATTCCTAGGTGATATTCTGCCTCAGCCTCCTGAGTAGTTAGGATTACAGGTGCCCACCACCATGTCTAGCTAGTTCTTTTCTGTCTTTAGTAGAGACAGGGTCTTGCTCTTGCTCAGGCTGGTATCAAACTTCTGAACTCAAGGTATTCTCCTGCCTTGGCCTCCCAGAGTACTAGTATTGCAGGTGTGAGCCACCTCAGCTGGCCCCAGGTTCATAAGTTGTCATTGGCAATGTCATGTACATTTTTAGGTTTGTTATCAAATTGAAGGGAAATCTTCATAGAAAGAAATTTGATCAATGAAAAATTTGATAACTATTTCTATGAAAGAAATAGTCTCACTATGTTGCCCTCAGTAGCATTTCAAATTTTCTTGTGCAAAGAATAATTTTAGATATATATCCAAATTGAGTATCTTTATTAGCCAATTTGTCTTTGAAAACCTCACTATGAATGATGCATACGTTTTTTATTATCTGTATTGATATCAGTAATTTGTGTTGTCATAAAACAATTAAATATAGGAATCCTGGTAAATTATAATTTATACAATTCCTATCCAAAAAGAAAAGAATACATAGTGCATTTGTAATTATAC